AAAATAATATAAAAAAGCTTACTTTTAAAAAATAGATTTTATAAAATAAATTAAAAAAACATTATATAGTTTTCTCATTCATGTCAGCCCCTATTTTTGCTGGTTTTTATTTATATTGCAAAAAAAACAATAAAAATTGGGGTATTTACATATCCAACCTTTAAACTTTGCTTTTTATATTTATACGCCTCAAATCCTTCATATTGTTTTAATAATATCACTATTTTAACTTTCAGATGGTGAAATGCACCGTTTCATCTATATATAAGATGATATATTTGTAAAATTAAAGTTTAAGTGTTAGATATATATGTAAATATATAAGAATTGAGTAGTATGTACGTAAGTATTCTAAAAAAAATTATCACAGATGAAAGCTAGATGTCACACCCCCCATCTTCAAGAGTAATTGACAGCTAATCGTGAGAATGAAAGATTTTAAAGAATATAAGAATGTAGAGAGCAATACAAGGGACTCTAGAAGATTCCACGACATTCTAAAAACAACTAGAAAGAAGGAAAATGTTCTAAGAAATTCTAGATGATTCCACATAATTCCATAAATATGCTGAAAGAAGCAAGCTCCAAGAGAACTTTAGAATATTCCGGAAAGTTCTAGAAGCATGTATATGTAAAGAACAATGTAGAACAATCTAAAATATAATATATTCTAATGTAATCTAGAAAGTTCATTTAGCCTTGAGGAGGATTATAAATAGAAGTCTCTCCCCCACATTTGGATCTATCCAAGGTTCTCAAGCATTTCAGTGTTTTAATCACCCTTTCTTAGTTAAGTTTTTCATTCTCCACTAGTTCTCCCAACTCTTCTTCTTAGAGTGTTTTGTGCTTATAGGTCCAAGCGTTGTGAGGGTAAGACTGATTTAGTTCCATGAAAGAGCGCTAAAGCTACACGGATGGCTTGAGATAGGTTAGTCCTTGACATAAAGCTCATCTGCATTCTAATATAAATTAAACGTAAAGTCCAATGTAATTATGAAGTTAATAGTTGGCCAAACTTTATAAAATAAAACTTTAGGCTAGTGTTACATTAATTAGAGTAGGATTCCCACTAACTATAGAAATGGGCATGAATTTATGAGGTAAATTAAGAAAAAAGTTGAGATTAAACCATTTTTTAATTAAAAAATCATTAAAAAAATAAATAAGAATGTTAATAATTTAATAAATGCAATATTATTAAAAATATCAAATTAGACTTTCTTTTTTAACTCATTTTTTAATAAATAAATCTTAGGAAAAAAGCATCTATAAGTTTAAGTATAATATTTCTTTTATTAAAAAATAGAACAATTACATAACCAAAAAATTAATACTTATTTACACCTAAACTATTCTTTTTTTACATTTATACTTAATAAATACCACCATTTAAACATAAAAAAAAAAAAGCGAAACACACCTTGCAAATTGAAATGAGTAGGTAAGAGGGTATTTTTGTAAAAATTAAAATTAAAGTGTTAGATATGTAAATACATAGAAATCGAGTGACATGTATGTAAATATTCCAAGAATTTTAATGGATATTTCTTATTTAGTATTTAAATAATTTATGGTTGTTATTCATGTCCCATTTACTAATATTAATTATGTGCGCATAGTTTACATTCATATTACATAATATTCAACCTATTGAGTTGACGCATAAATATATATAATGTATGTTGACCAAAATAACCGAATAAAAAAAA